TGGCCAAAATCTCCTGCAGTCTGGAGACCAAAGAGCTCTGGGACAAGTTTCACGAACTGGGTACTGAGATGATCATCACTAAATCCGGGAGGTAAGACTGGGCAGCTTCGCGTACCCTCCCCCTCGCCACGCAAATAAATGAATAAACAATACTCCACTTTTATTCATTTATTTAGGGAGAGCAGCACGGATGGGGTGAGGGGAGGAAGAGGAGGGTGAAGCCGCCCTGGTCAGCTGCTATGCGCCCGGGCCGGGGGTTTTGAAATCAACCAGGGGATCCCGGAGGATGGGTAGAAATGTTGTTTTCCCCAATAAACTGGTCTGCGGGTAAAAAATTCCCTTGTGCGGCGCGGTGATTTTGGGGGGCTGCTACAGCCAGAGGGGAAATGCGGGGCGTCGGGGAAGGAAATTCGGTCGGGGCGAAATTCAGTTCGGTTTGGTTTTTCTTTTCTCGGTTGCAAAAAATGTGCAAAAGAATCCCGGGGTTTCTCGTCACCTTAAGCCTCAGCGTTTCTTCAGTAAAGCTTTTGGGGTTTAGGTCAGTCCAACGCAGTCGGGAGGAGCCAAATATCTTGTCGGGTTTTGTAATCCCCAAAGTTGTCTGTTATTAACGTAGTTCCCTGCCGATTATATTTTTTTTTTCTCTAACTGGCGAGCTAAACAGCTGAATGTAACCACTGTGTGTTAAAAAAATAAATAACGGAAAAGTACGTTTAAAAATTTGCAATTTGAAGGTCAAGATTTTAAACTTTTTAAAGTTATTTAATTTTTGTTTGTTTTCCTCTGGTCTACGACAAAACCTTATATTTTAAACTTCCGTTTTGTCAAAATGTAAGTAAAGAAAGGAAAGTTTAGTTTCGAAAATTCCTCTCAAATATCGTGATCAGGCTTAAAAGAACATGCGTCTAAAATATATGAGAATGTTAATGGAAATAGTGTCTACAATATTTCCTTAATATTAGTATGTATCCCATAACAAAAATCTTATATACCTTAGGCACATCTATTTTCTGAAATCGTTGTGTGCTTTTTAACTAATAGGCAAAAGTACATTTATTCTTTACTATTTTTTTACCTTTTTTCTTTTTTTTTTGCTTCCAAATAATTGTTCTGATTTCAAGCTGCACTTTCTGTGCCTATTAAAGATACACAGGATTTAACTTCTATCGTGTTGAAGCAGAACCAGAAGATGCTGTAGTTTTTTTGAGGTTATTTAAATACAATTCTTAACTTTTTAGCAGCTTTTCAGCAGCTCTCATTTCTTATTTCTCCGTCCACGTGTTTATTTTCTGATACGCCTCTATTTCAGGAGAATGTTTCCTACAATCAGGGTTTCCTTCTCGGGAGTGGATCCTGAAGCCAAGTACATTGTGTTAATGGATATAGTTCCTGTGGACAATAAAAGATATAGATATGCCTACCACAGGTCTTCCTGGTTAGTGGCTGGAAAAGCTGATCCCCCGCTCCCTGCAAGGTTTGTAGATTTTACTTCTGCTCTTTTAAAAAGTTTTTTTTAATTCCTTAAAAACATCTCTCTGAGTGAGATTTTTGCATTTGTGCTCAACAAAAGTGATTGCAAAACTCTCATTAATTTCTGTGATGCAGAATCTGGCCTCAAATCTCTGCTTGAGGTTTGATTTATACTAAACGTTCCAAAGCACGCAAGATTTGGCTAAAGGCTCTTTTACATGTATATAATTTATTTTTTTAAATGAGGTTTGGCTCAATTCAGATAAGACAGCTTTAAAAAAAATGTAAAAAATAATTGATTTCTCTCTTGTGTTTACCCCCCTGGTATTTGACCTCATAATTTAAAGCAATCTAAGCACCACCAGTGAAGTCCAAGTAGAAATCTTACACTACAGTTCAGTGCTGTTTATGTTTGAAATTATATTTGTCAATAACATATCCAGCATCTGCTGCCCAGTAATTTTATTCTTGCTCTTAAAAAAAAATCCTGCTGTCTAAGAGATGACCAAGTTCTACTGCACAGAGATTTATTTACTTTTTTTGTTAAAAATCGTGGCATTTTCTGAGATGTTAGGAAAAAATCAAATTTCCCTCCCCTTGCCCTTCTATGCAGAAGCAAAATGCTGTAGAAAATTAATTTCTAAAATTGTTCTGTTAATTTAATTAACAATCGACACCTCTCACCATGGGGAAACTGAGGCTGCAGCACTAAGCTGTATGATAGGAAGACGCGCCAGTGGAGACCCACACTTCATCATGCTCAGCCCAGCACTTCAGTACGTACTTAATTCCCCAGGTCGGGTAAGACTGAAGCACATGTCGAACGGCTTTGCTGAGTCAGAGCCGGAGATATGGAAATAATGCCTCTCTGGCTTCAAAGAATCTTTGTGCGGAGGGCTCTGCGCAGGCACACAGATCTGCTTCAGGTGGCTTAGCCCAGGGTTAAGAACTTGCTTATTACAGAGACAAAAATTAGAAATGAAACACAAGAAATGGAAGCACTCTCTTTTTTTCTTTTTTTTTCCTTTATTTTTGTGTGTGAGAATATAGGGACCAAACCCTGCATGCCTTCCTTGTATAAATAGCTCAGCTGAAATCTTGCTGACTGCTCATCTCTGGAAGGCGGCTCAGGGAAGTAAACAAACAAAAAAGTGCGTGCAGAGAAGCTGTGATTAAAGACAGCAACCTAGGAGTTATGTCGGCTTTGTTTTCATGGCCAAAAACTCCTTCCTGCAATGTGGTTAACGTCTGAGGGCTTCATTTGACGTATTGTAATGGGCACTGATCAAAACCCAAAGGAAAAACGCAGATCCTGCTCCAAAGGAGTTGGCATCAAAAGAAGAAATAAGGGAAGGGCAGAAATAGGTTTAAAGCAGGGTTCTCCTGTTCTTGTTTTTCCCTTTCAAGTGCCTTTTGGGATAACTTTAAATAGATTGCTAATTCACACTCTAGCTGGCATAGACTATTTTAATTAGGAAATACAAGAAAATAAGAGATTGATCCTTGGAATCATTAGCAGTTGTCCAGCTGAGTGTTCTAGAGCTGAGGTCAAGCCTTTCTGGAATATAATATTTAGTATCATCCTACTGTGGTAAATCATTAAGATCCTGTCGGATCAGTGCCACTATGTACAAATGCACATCTGTGCTGTTTTACTTTCAGGATGCTTTCAGGCTGTTTTGCCCCTCTGTGTAAATACCAACCTTTCCTTTTCCATTTTTTAGGGTGCTTAGCCAAAAGACCTTTGATCATAGCACAGGCGCAGATAAGTTTTTCTTTGTATGAATGGTACTTACATATACATTTATGCACTTTCTCCTTCTTACGCTCCTTTGTAGTGAGAAGAAAGGACGCTAAGAGGCTCACTGTGCTGATGTTCATGTTACTAGTGTTTTTTCTGGAGTGTTAATGCATTTTTTTGAGGTAGGGAGCCTCAGTCTTGCTCAAACAGATTAAAAGTCGTTCCCCTCCCATCTTTAAACAGGTTTGGTCCTGCTTCAGTAACAGGAGCCCATAATGAAGTTATGATTTCCAGTCCTCCAAACACGTGATTTTACCCCTCTGTACTTGAGGGTGTCGGTGAGGGGTATACATGCGCTTAGAATCTGGGTGCTGGTACCAAGGTGTGAACTGCCCGTGAGCACCAATCAATCCTTGCATTTGCATGGGCACAATGGCATCAGGGAGATTATTGCCGGATTGATCCCATTAGATATGTTGCTCTTTCCATTGCAAAAAAACCCCAACAAAACAAAACCAAACCCCAAACCTTTCAATGCTAAGACGGTTGTTGGGGTGTGGTTTTTTTCCCTTTTTTTTTTGTTTTTTCCTTCTTTCAGAATTAATAAGTATTCTGTGATTCTGCTTGAAAGATTAGGCCTTCGGGGAACTTTCTATAAAAAACAGTTTTATCCCTGCCTTCCTGCTGTCAGCATTTAAGACAAGCTTACGTTGCAGTGAACACTTATATAAAAATACTTCTCAGAGAATCTTTTGTAAGTCTTCTAAAGTTATACACAGGGATAGAATTCCTATGTGATATTTTATGGTGTGCTTTTTTATTTTCTTCCGAAATTGCTAAGACTGCATGAAACATCAATTTAATAAGTTTCAGCATGTACTTTTTTTTGCTCGTTTTCTTTTTCCACCTCCTTTCTTTCACTCAAAAGTCCTTTTTTTGGTTAGTGTATTTGGTTGCAGTCACTTGTTTCATGAAGTTAGAGTTTACACACTTACAGAGAACTCTAGGTAGGAAATTTTTAAAAGGTATTATATTTTGTAACTTATTTGAGACATTAAGGTAATTAAAAGCAGCACACACAGGGCTTGTAGTACCAGACCAACTGTTAAACTAAATAGGAGAGCAGTGTCACATTCCAAAATATGGAAGAAGGAAGCAGCACCCAAACCTGTTGTATAATATGAAACATATACTGTGGAGCAAATTCACATCCAAATATGGCTCCTACAACCTTTGTGAATTGGAGTGTGCAGCCCCTGGCTTCTGGGCAGCAGAGCCTGCGTGAACCTCTGGAGGAGCATTGTGTGCAGCGCTGGAACGTGCATGTTTATTTCTCTAACCCCTTTGCTTATGCGCTCTTCTACTTTAGAGGGCTATACATTTTCAACCCTCTTGTCCAGAGGAGACAAGCTCAGGCTGTAGGAAAAGTACGCCGGTGGGTGTAGTTCACCAGGTGGAACAGAGTGTTGCAGTAAATCAGTAAAGAAAAGGTCTAATATTATGTTTCCATAGCTGATGTTCTGGTGCTCATCCTTTGGGGACATCCCTGTTATTTTCTGCTGACATCCAGGCACCTCATAGTTTGAAAGCGGTGCCAGGTATTAACTGCCTATGGTGTAAAACATTTGTGCTTGGCTTTTAGGCACATAAAGATCTTTACTTATTCCCCAGCACATATTTGAAATAGTTTGGCTTTTTGGTCCCAATTAGCCAAACCTGGCTGAGTCTGCCACTCTGTGATCACAGTAAATGTTATTAGCTATCCAGACGTTCAAAATTAGGAATCAAGCTCCAAAAATATATTAAAAAAAATCACAAGACTGGATAAAAAATTGCAGGACGTGTTTGAGACTTTTTTGTTTTAATTTAGCCTTCTCTGATTCAGCGCTCTAAAGATTGAGATTTTTCACTTTTTTTTTTTGTTTATTTTGGATTTGGTTGGTTTTTTTTTGTTTGGTTGTGTCTTTTTTTTGCAGGAAGGCAAAGTTAATTTTCATGAGAGGTAAAATTCTTTTGACATAACAGGATTCCAGGTCTTGGGGTTTCGGCTACATTATAATTTTCTGTGAGCCTTGCAGTGCAATCAGTGAAGCCAATAGCAGGCAGGATGCTTGTATGCCAGGAATATTTTATTGTGACCAGAGCCCTGGCTCAGGATCCCTCCTGTGCATGTAGCTATACCAGCCAAGCTGTGTTTCAGATCAATGTAAGGAAAACATCCTGCACATCTGAAGTGAGCTGTGCTGGTAAAACTTTAGTTTCACTGTGTCTTGGGGATTCTGCTGGCAAAAACGGAGAGTGCAGGATCAAATCTCCTTCCTCTTTGAGTAACGGAGCTGTGCTCTCTGGAGTCTTTAGCACTTGATTAGGGATCAGTGTAGTCTATCCGAGAGTTACGCCCCATCGTTTAGTGCGTTTTCCATTCTCCTCTTGCCTAACAGAAATCTAGCTCAACAACAGCAACTAACCTGCTGCCCCACCCGCCTAATGGGAGAAATCCATTTGTCTGGCCAAAGACATCACCCAAAACGAGAGTTAAGCCCTCAGCAAATGATAAACAACACCGTGACAAGCAGAACGGGTCTGGTTTGCATGAGCTGAAGGTCTAGTTCAGCCCTTAATTCACTATCACCAAAGACATTTGAGTTAAATAACTTCCAGCAAGAAGTTATTCCTATAAAATAGCCTGGCACTTGTAATTAGTCTAGTCGCAATGTATATATCGTTGTATCTGCATGTCTTCCGTGCTTCCTTTTCTTCTGCCTAATTTCCCAAGTGGCAGGTTGTTAATTACAGAGCTGCAATTAATTTTTCATGTTAGACCACTGTGCTGGACTGCAGCCTTCAACCTCTTATAAACAGACGTCACCACAGCTAATGTGTGATCGAGTGCAGGTTAAAATCATTATCACGGCTTAATGTTACATATAAAGAAAAATGCATTTTTATCTACATTCCCCCATTATCTGTCTAATGACACCATGTTTTTTCTCTCAGAGCTGTAGTCATTGTTATTTTAAGTGCTTGTTAGTACAGCTGTGGGGAAAGACACGATAAATTTTTCATTTGGGGAAAGACACAACAGGGAACGTTAGTTAATGTCTCCATTTTGGATGACTAGATAAAATAATAGATATGGTTAGAGAACAATCCAGCACTTGGACATGGGATTCTTCATTACATTCAAGTGAACAACTCATCTGCTTTACTGTTTTTCTTTAAAGGTCATGTTCCAGGTGTTCATTAATTTGGGGGAAGATTGTGTCTTGTTCAAGTAGCAGTTCTGTATTACCCTAAGCTCTCAGGAAATCCACGCCCATGAAATCACCACATACCCCCAAAGCAAGATATTTCAGGTTTTTTAATTTCATACAGAGGTGGCATCCATGTGCAAGCCAAGAGGTGAGATTTTATTTTTTTGTAATGAGCAGGCTTTTTCCCTTTTTAGGTTGTATGTGCACCCTGACTCCCCATTCACAGGAGAGCAATTGCTGAAGCAGATGGTGTCCTTTGAGAAAGTCAAACTCACCAACAACGAGCTGGATCAACATGGCCATGTGAGTACCCTAGTGGGGGAAAGGGTAAAGGAGCTGCCGTAAGGGAATCACTTGCTTGTGCCACAGGACTAAGCTCGAGGGAGAGAAATCATGATGGAGGGAGGCTGCCATGGCCCCCATGTTACACCTCTCCTGGCTTGCCCTTCATTCTGCAATGGAGGAAGGTGCTGTGTGAAGCTTAAAGACATTAGGTTTTAATCTCTGCTATTGAGGAACTGGTAACTTCAGAAATCAATTTTTTTACCTGCCATAAAGTAGAGACCAGGTCAACACAAGCATTCAAACTATGCTCCTTATGCTGTCAGATGCAGAGCATCCATCGGGGACAAGTTTAGGATGGAGTTCAGTATCAAAGCAAGGCAGAAAAGGAAGGCGGGTGAGCTTTTTGTTATGCCCTCACCTGTGCTTTCATGTAACATGGCAGTAAGCTCTGCACCAGCTAGCAAGCTCACAGACTTTTCAGTGTGGGCTTGGAAGTTCCCTCCTGTTACAGGCAACCTATTGAGGTTGGGTCCATCTTTTACTTTCAGACTCAACACAATATGGCCATGGCATCAGCATAAATTGCTGGTGTGACACCAAAACAAGGGCTGTTGAATTATAAAAATAAGTGTTCCACAGTTGCCCTTGAAATAACTATGGGCTGTCTACAAGTCAAGGTACCACAGGGTGGACTTGGACCTCTAGGATACAGGTCTTTGCTCTAACTAATGCCAGTTTGTTGTCACAAGCCCTGAGGCTGGAAGCTGGTAAATAGGACCCTGGCCATGGGCTCCTGCTGTCCTCCATCAGCAGGGACAACTCCTTTAGGTACCTGACTGTCTAATGGTAGGTGGTAAGAATCATAGAATGGTTTGAGTTGGAAGGGAATTTAAAGATCTTCTAGTTCCAACTCCCTTGCTGTGGGCAGGGACACCTCCCACCAGACCAGGTTGCTCAAAGCCCCATCCAGCCTGGCCTTGAATGCTTCCAGGGAGGGAGCATCCACAGCTTCTCTGGGCAACTTGCATCAGTGTCTCACCACCCTTACAATGAACAATTTCTTCTTAATATCTAATCTAAATCCACCCTCTTTCAATTTGAAACTGCTACCTCTTGAAGAAGCATTGTCTGTCCTGCTTCCCCTCCAAAAGTGCCTGGAGAGTGCAGGAATGGCCTGGCAGCACCTCCAAATTGCCAAGGAAAAGCTAAAAGCGTTGCCTTGGGGCTCAGTGGTTCCCCGGGGGAAGGCTGAAGGAGGACGGATTTGAAAGGGCTGTTGACTGAGAACAGAGCAGTTAAGAAGAATGAGCGTTAAGGCAGTGTTCGTAAATGAGGTGTCGGGAAGAGAGGGGTGATTTTGAACTCTGAGGTATTGTGTAGTGGTAACTAACCTGTAAAGCTGAATAACTAGGGCACACATGGTATTAGAAATCCCCCTCCAGTGTGGCATTTATTGCCTTTTCTAACTGTGTGAAACAGTGGCTGTTTGTCCAAGCTGCGTTCTGTGTAAATGCTTCTCATCCAAAAGAAAACTTTTACTCATTTCAAGACCTAGGAATTGAGCCACAGCCACAACCATTTAAAAATGTATTCTGGAAACAACAACAGCAAAAGTAATTTAAAAAAAAAAAAAAGAAAAAAAACCAAACCAAAAGAAAGCCCAGATATATGCCTTTGTGTTGTTCTTTCATAAAGATCTGTCTATGAGCATATTTTTCTTGAATCTGGTTTCCCACTGCTGTTCCCTTCCTGACTAGCAAAGAAAATTTTTTTCCTTTTTTTTTTCTCTTTTATTTCATAATCTCTAGAAGGGCAAAGCTGAAGATTTGTGGGCGCTATCACTGAGTGATGATAGAGCAGTATACGTGCACCTTTAAAAAGAAGCATTTTTCATCATAACAGGGGCCATGTGTGCCTCTAATAAAGGGCTTGCAGCAGTATATTGCAAACTAGTTAGAAGCGGTGCGGTTCCCAGAAGCCCAGATGAGTATAAAGAAAAAGTAGATCTCAGAAGCTGTCGGGAAGAGAGACATGTGACAGAACAAAAAGACATAATCATCTCAAATACAGGCAGTGGGAGAAAATTAGAGTTTGAGATGCATCCTTCCGATTAGCTCTGGAAGAAGCAAAAGAGGTGGATCCTGTTCTTTAAGTGAAGACTTTGGACAGCTGAAGTCTATGGAAAGTTTTGCGTGTTTGAGGAAGAATAAGCTTGATCCCATGTTGGGATTTGTATGGCAGGTGTTACGCCTTCTCAGAGTGCTCCCTTTTTAATATTTTGTGAGTGTTTTGTGTTCCAAATTAGAGTGTTAGGTTTTGTATGCTGCTATGTAAATACCATCATTGGATGCTCGGTAGAATTAAGGAAGAAATTAATTCTCTGGAGCTTTTAATGGAGGCCTCGCTGTCCTATGGCCGATGGCATTTCTGAGCTCCTGTATACTAAGAAGGGGAGGACTGAAATGCCTCCTGAAACCTCTCCCTTCAGTTTGAAAGAATTCTTCTTACCTTAATTATGTTTGATAAGGTGTGTCGTTCCTGAGGAAGTTTTAATGACCTAGAAGATGCCTTCAAATACCAGTTACAGGTAGAGAAGCTGGATCCGACCTGATTCCAGTTTATTCTAGCTGTTTGCTTTCTCCACCCTCCAGACTACAGTTGTGGCTGTTGAAGGTAATTGTGGTGGTTTATTTGTAGGGTGGTTCATTTCCTAAAAAGGAGTCTGGAGACAAGAGGGGCATTTGTTTGTTCTAGCTTTTGTTTGTTTTCTCTTATTCTGAGACTTTTTGAGTTGGCAAGCATCTCTGCTTGTATGTCTTCAGCAACATAACCCCATAGCTGTGTACGTATTCTGCCCGATGCTTGGGCAGAATCTGTGTGCATGACATACAGCTTGCTCCATGGAAACACGTTCAGATATCCTTACCAGAGGAAGGAAATGGCTCCTGCCTCCAGACTTTTGTAGTTGAGCAAGTATTTCCCATTTTTCTGGTTGTGGAACATTATTGAACGTGATTGATCTTTAAATTTATTTTTCCAGATTTCTCATGACGTTCTTCACATAGATGGCTTTTTTTTAGGTCTTTAGGTTGCATGTAGTTCGGGTGGCATCATTTCTGGTTTATGATGAAGTCAACCATGAGTATATACGTTATTGTAATTGTTTTCCTGGCATTTATAACAGCAAAACTCAAACACGTGAATGCTTGCAAAAGCAAACACAAAGGTGTGAACATGGACAACAAGTAGCTGTGAAAGCAGAGTGGTTCAGAATAGCCATGAGGAGCTACACCCAGGGTTTGCTCTTTTCCTTTAAGTCAACTTGGCGGAAGTTAGGAACCTCCACACTATTAGAAAACAAACTGTCTCTTCAGTAAATATGAAGCTGCATTCACAGCACAGTTCCTGAACTCAGAGCTGCCTCAGGGCTTTTGCAGCTGGCATCCAGATTGCCTCTGGTGACCGGTCTGCTGGTGGGTGCCAGATGCCTTCAAACCTGCCTGACCTAACAGCACGCAGGATCCTGTAAGGACGGATTCTGATCACCACCCCTGCTGCAGGCTCTCAGCACCAACTCAGATGGGATGGCTGGGGGCCCGTTACCACACCATACTGCCTGTAAAACTGTGCGGGGGGGCTGCCATAAGCATACATCTACCTGAGGTTTCTCTCGGGGTCCACTAGCATGAGCATCACATGGGACATTGAGGATTCTCTGATAGCTACACCACAGGCTTTGAGACCACCCTTGGAGGCCACAGATGAACCCTGTGTATCTAACTCTGTTTTGATGGTCCTAACATAGGATGTTGCATCAATATTAAGGGGTATCTGTGCAGCATCCTGCTGACTTTAATATCAGTGAGTATGGCAACATCGTCAGCCTGTGCGGGGATGCAGATGGAGTACCACATACACAGACCCTCACAAAGTGGAAATAGTGACCTTAACCTTGGCCACGGGTCTTTTGTGACCTCCTGGCTATGACTCAGTCCTTATTTTGTACCTGAATGACCAGACTTGCCTCTGGTGGGAATGTGCAGGGTAGCACATCGTGGCAGGGGATGTTATCCAGGTGGGCTTTTGGTTTTGGAAAATTTTCATAAAGGATGATGTGGTCTTGAGAAATGGAGTTTCTTTATCACAGTTTGCATTCACAGAGGAGCGAAAGGAAAGGACACATGTGGGAGCAGCTCTGTCACAGCTTTTTCCTCCTTCCACTCGGCTGCTGTTCAGATGTAATGTCTCAGTGTGGATATTGCCGCTGTGAAAGGCAATGGGAAGCTCTGTGGGCCAATAGAGAGATTGTAAGCTCATTGCCATCCATTCATCATCCTTTAACATGTCTTTTCTGGCTGCTTAGAGCAGCACAGGTGACTAGGATGGTAAAACAAAATATTACAAAGAGTGGGAAAAGTACTAAGGCAAGGTCAATGGCTGTTGTGTGTGTGCATATATAAAATGATGAAAGGATTTGAGAAAGGACCTGAGCAGGTAAAAGTAGACATGTAACGCCTTAAGGATGATGATTCCCCATCACTGTAATGACTTTCTTTTTGTAATGCACCCCCTTCTTAATGTTACAGCGCAAGATTTGGCAATATTTAGTCCTGAAGGAGCAGTGAAAAAAATGCCGATGGAAATTTGAGCCATGACAAAGCTTGTCTCAAAGCTCTCCACTCCAATGTAATATGCAAACTTTCTCATTGACTGAGTTAGCATGAAAGACCGCACCACTTCTGCTGTGTTTCAGCTGCAGTTAACGCTTCCTGAGGAATGCATGTTAGCTATTCCAGATGTACGGTGTTGACTGTAATGGCATTATGGCTCCTGCAAAATAGAACCACCCACACCACTGCCAATTCTGTCTTGTGACTGTGATTATATCCAAAACAAGGGCTGGTGTGAGCTGAGCTCTGTATTTAATTCTTATATTGTAATAGTGTGGTTAGAGACAGCTAAACAAGCCTGGTGACTGAAGCAAGTGGGACTGCCAGTGTGACTCCAGTGAATGTTGAAATGGGTTAGTTGGTACATTAGGTTTAGAATTATTTTGGCAAAACCTAGTCAATTTGGGGTTCTGTACTGCTTTTGCTCTCATTCATTTGTGAAGAGCATCCATGAAGTCGTTTGCTTTCAATTTTTGCCACAGTAAAAGGATTTGGGGAGCATTATTTTTGGTCATCCGGTTTGTGCTGGTGGTGGTGTTGTGGGGTTTTTTTTCCTGTTTTGTTGTTGTTTTTGTTTCGTTTTGCTTTGCTTTGTTTTTGAGGGATTCCTGGCTGTTTTCATTCTGCACCTGCACATTTTCGCATATATAGATTCTTGGTCATAAGCTTTCAAGAGTTACATATCTACACTTGCAGCTGACACCTGCAAACAATGGCAATAACAAATCTTGTATGTAAAACAGCTCACCTGTAGGAACAGGTATTTATGCTTCAAAAACCTGTGTACTCACCAGTGGCATAGGAGTGAGAGGAAACTAGCTCCTGGGATGTCTGCCTTTCCACCTTCATTTTCTGGAACTGCCCAAAGGAGCTGGAGAGTTTGCTTTGAAAATCAGTCCCCAGCTAGTTCAGATTTCAGATGTTTCCCCTGCGGTGTTAATTAGATCTAATTTTTTTCCCCCCAAGTTTTTATAGCCTTTGAGGGTCTTGTTAATCCTCCTCTCAGGACAGTGCCTTGTCACTCTTTCTTGTAGATCATTTTGAACTCCATGCACAAGTACCAGCCAAGGGTCCACATTATTAAGAAGAAGGATCACACGGCTTCCTTGCTAAATCTGAAATCAGAAGAATTCAGGACATTCATCTTTCCAGAGACAGTTTTTACTGCTGTTACTGCCTACCAGAACCAATTGGTGAGTACAGTTGCTAATTTCCACAGATATAACTAAATCCCACCCTGCTGAAAACTCCCTTTTCCTCAGTTGAAACTAGGAAAGGTTTTTGATAATTAACCTAACTTTCCATGCCAATGTTTTCAGTGTGGGTGCCCAATCTAATTCATATTCAGGAGTAATTCTTATGTATGTGGGTAGAACTACTATCTTCAAAGAGCCACAAGGGTTATTCATGGGAGTAAAGGTGATGTGAAAGAGGCTTTCATTTGTCTTCCCTTCTGTCTGTACAAAGCTGCTTGCATATTATCATTTAGTCTTTTTCTCATTATGGCTTATTAAGGAACTGTTCTTATTTGCAGTGATCTTTCATGCCATGAGCTATTAGCTGAAAGATATTTTGTTTTGCACATGATGATTTCATGGGCTTAAAAAGTTTTCTAATTAAGCTGTAAGGCTCAAACGTAAAGGGAATCACTGGGAGATATGCTTTTCAGAGGCTGCCCAGATCACATCCAGATGTTTGAAATTTAATTTGCATGCCATTGAATAATATATACAAAATGGAGGAGATCATAATAATGGGTTGCTAATGAGAAATTTTAGGAAGTATATAAACAATCGGAGAGCAGAAGCTCTGCCTGACAGTGAATAGGGCTGTAATATTTAAGTCAGTGGAAGTGTGTTGCTGGCTTCAGTGCAATTTAGGACATGCTTTAAGGCCTTAATGACCATGGCACTTAAAAAAAAAAAAAAAAAAAAAAAAAGAAACCAAAACTAAACCAACTCTTTCCTTCTCTAATTCCCCCAAGGTAAGAAAAACAGAAATACTGTTCAAACGTGTGAGTAGGCAGTATCACAGAGTCATCGTACCTGCTGCATTAAAGAAGTCTGTGTTTCTTAATATGAAGCAGAAGTAATTAATTTCTAAATGCTATAAATAAAATGAAACTACTGCATTGGGGCCCAAAGAAGCTCTGAAGATAATAGCAGTAGTATTAAGTTTTTTTTAACAACAGTTCGCACGTCCTGCTTTGCGGTTTTAATATCAGAATGTATTGACTTTGAACTTGGGGTTGTATCTGAATGCTGCAGAAAATGTGTTCAGTGCTTGGCAATCTCAAGATCATAATATTTGGACAGGCAGTTAAACTTTTTCATGTAACTTTCTGTAGAAATGAGTGAAATAACAACAGGCACAAAACCAGCTAAACGTGGAATTTATTTCTGTAGGATGGATTTGTGTTTACTGATGATATTTACACCAGAGATACTTCTAAACTAACCTTCCCAAAGCACATACGTTGAGTCCTGGAAAATTTCTCAATGGAACATCTCTGGAACCCCTAGAGCTTGATGCTGTCATTTTATTTATGACTAATGAAAATGGAGCCTTTTTTCATTTTTGCCATTTCTTTCAGAACTGTTTTAAGGAGGGATTGATTACATTTCTGGAGGTTATTAGATAAAAGCTAAATACATTACACTTTCAACAAACTATCTCATAATTTAAGATTTAAAGGGCATGCATTTATTTAAACAGTCAAACCACTGCCACAGAGTTGAATTGTAGGTCAGATCTCATTTTAAAATGCTTTCTAGCAGATGTTCTCTGATTGTTTGTGAGACAGTCTCGCAGGAAAAATATGGCTGTAAATGACTGTGAATCTCATCTGGCTTTGGTGGATACAAAAAGTTTCTCTTGTGATGTCATACCACATCTTTAATATTAGCAAAATGGAAGTTAGATTGGTGAAAATACGCTCAAGAGATGAATAGACGTCCTTATTATTCTGCAGCGCAGTTGGCTCGGTGTTCTGGCGATCTAAGTCAATGGAACTAGTTAGAGCTTGTCTTTTTTTCAAGGTAGTTTTCCGCTTGCTGCCATAAAAATGTTCACTGTACGTGAGGCAGTAACCTGCTACTCTTTGAAACATCACCGTGTGTCAAGGGCTCATGGATAAGTTGGGAGTAGAATGAGCCTGTAACAAACTTGCTAAGCTGTTGCAAGGTCCTGGGACAAAGTTCATGTTAAGGGTACCTTCTGCCAGTTGGACATACATGATGAGACAGCCCAGAACCACCAGCCAGCCCCGAGGCCTCAAGTTCTTTGACAAGCCCATTGGAACAACTGGTGAGCTGCAGCTTCTCCTATATAGTGTCTTGAAGCAAGGACTGTCCCCAGAGAGCTTGCCCCTGTATGGACCCAGGCAGGGGTGCAGTGAGTTTCCCAGGGCAGCAGAGCCAGGTGGATGGCAGCCACTCAGCACTCAGCAATTAAAATAATTAATTAAATATAAAGGTTTTATCTTTGTAAGCCTGTCCCTCCCTCTCTGTGTTTCCCCTCCCAGAAGACCTCTTCCTCAGAACAAAAAGTTGGGTTTCGTTGTCCTCTTTTTTCTTTTCTTTTATTTAAAAAAAAAAATGGAGGAGAAGCCACTCCTTTTGATGAAATACCTTTGTTTGATGAGAGCATTTGATTGTTTGAGGATTTGGAAGAGATCCCTCTTCTTTGTGAGTCTTGAGGGCCAGCTGTTAAAAATGACGTTGTGGCCTCTCTGATACAATTGTTTTTTGAAGAAAGCCAGGCTGACGTAGCTGCTCAGGATGAAATGCCAAGATCTGTTGATTTTCACGGGCTTCAGCTGGAGCTGGTGGCATTCACTGCCTTACAGTACAAGTCCCATGTTATCCTTCATCAAGCTGCCAGTTACAGTTTTATTTTTAATTCTTGGAAGAGGTATGACTGGAAAAATCTGAATACCAGGATGATGTCCCAGATTTCATTCACCAAATCTCATTTGGCTGGGCAGCTAGAAAAATCCACAAGGGTAATGGTGTTTTTTTCCTGCTCCCGGAAACCCACTGCCTGTGCCTCAAAAGTTTCACTGAAAGGTTAAGGGGAGCACTGATGCTTTGGGGCAGAGGGACTCATGGTTGGTGGGTTACTCTGGCAGAAAAGGCTGACAGGATGTACTGGGCAGGTTTGTAGCTGCATTCAAAGAAGGGAGGAGAGTTTTTTACAAGATCTCTGGTTTTCCAGGACTGTGATAGTTTTCATGGAATCATATAATGGTTTGGGTTGGAAAAGACCTTAAAGATCATCTCATTGCAACCCCCCCCCTTCCATAGGCAGGGACACTTTCCACTAGACCAACTTGCCTAAAGCCTCAGTTTTAATGGTGTTTTCTTTAGCCCAGGCTCTGTCACTTTAAATCTGAGTTGTCTCCACCTTTTTCTGCCCTCCTTCCCTTCCTCTGCATCTTTCCATTCAAAAACAGTTAAATTGCCCTATATGATGGCTGGTAGGTCTGTCTAAGAACATTTGCATACCAGAAAAAAAAAAAAAAGAGTGGAACTGAAGTGAAGCAACATCTTCAGGTCTGCAGGCAGTGTCTCCTAGTTTCGACATCATATTAGTTGATGTATGGCTCCACTAGTGAGGCTCAGATGTCAGCAAGGTGATGCCCATGGAAAAGACAACCTGGTTCGTGCTGTTAAATATTTGGAAGCAGCAATGCTGTACATGGGTGGGTTCCTTCTGCCCTGGGTAACACGAAGGCTGAGCCCACTGTGTCCTTTGGTCTTTCCATTGCCATAACATGCCCTGGTTTGCCTTGCCAGCTTTGCAGCATCTCAGGGATAGCACGTGTGCACACACAAAGAACAGGATAAAATTAGCGTTGAAATCAGGAGGATGGATTGATTAACACTTTGTACGCTGCAATACCTTAACACTATATTCATGTTGCATTGCTTTTTCTCCTGTATTTCCAGATAACCAAGTTGAAAATTGACAGCAACCCTTTTGCTAAAGGATTCCGGGACTCTTCCAGACTCACTGATATCGAGAGGTAATGGGGACTTTCTGTTTACTTTCCATGCAGATAAGATAAAGAGAAGAGAGAGTTTGTAGGAAAAGCATCCTTTCAACTCCTGAGAAGCTGTGCATTTTAATGTTATCTTGTTGCATACAGTAAGCCTCCTCCCCCTCCTTTAAAAATACTTAGAAACTTTATGAAGAAAGAGCTGTCTTGAGTTTTGACATCTGTTCCAGTCGGGGCTGATATATTCATCTTCCTGAGGGGACTTCTTGAAGCAGGGAGAGGGTCAGTTTTACAACTTCAGAATGGAAAGCTTTTTTTCTTATCATGCCATTTAATCCTACTGAGGCCTGTGAACTGGGTCAGTAGGAAACAAGGGCACTGGTCCTGTGAAAAATATCTTTATAGCTCCCCACTGCTCCATACAGTGGAAAAGAGAGAGGGGAGCTTCCCAAAATACACTTTGGCAGTTTCAGACACCGAAGTCAGCAATTATTGCCATCAGGATGAATACCATAACTCCCGCTCTGATGACAAAGATGCCATTTTCGTTTCACCAAAATTGTACTGCAGGCTGCATCAGGGGAAATCTTTATGTGGAAACTGTTGAGTTTTTTGTGCGTAGATCTCATTATAAGCAACTGCTGCCATAGGAAGAGAGGCAGTAGGAAATAAAATTCAGTCTCTTTGTAGCTCATTGTTATGATATCATGTGGAATAGTTTGGCAAATGAAGCAAATTAGGCTGTCTCTGTCCTTTAGGCTGGAAGAGAACTCAGTGGAGATGGGTATAGCACATCCAAATTTTCCTGTGAGCACACAATCATGAAAGAAAGCTTGGAGAGGCCCAAACCCTCCAGGCTTTTTTGTGGTGATATCCAGATGTATCTGCAAATCATCTTTCATGGGTGCATATAGGGAACAAACTGCTCAATGAAGTCATATCCATACAGCTAGAAAAAGTCTTTAAGAGCATTTCAAAAGTATATCAATTTAAGCAGGTTCACAGATGGGAAATAGAAGTACATTTTATACCTTAGGGGATGGATCCTTAGTGATCTGCTGAGTAGTTGGATAAGAGAAGAGTAGTTTGGGGAAAGCAAGCCTGTAGATTGCAACACACACTTGCAAAGTTGCCAAAAAATTGCTTCCTAAGTGAAAGCCTTAGTTGAAAATGGGAAAAAACCCCCAAACAACAAAGAAGATTTAATTAAAATAGCACAGCCTGTTACGTTGACAGAATACTAAGGTAAACAATAGACAAAGCTCATGTTTGTGTGAAATAAATAGCCAAGAAAGGACCTGTAGGAAGAGAAGAGACTTTGATTTTTCACATTTCAGTTTCCTTGTTTTACAGACAGGCAACATCTAATGACAATAGGTTTGCAAGGACTGAGAGAGTCCAGATAGATAAGCTGGGAGAAAAACTTAGATGCAGACGAACCGACTATCGTGGCGCTGGATAGGAAGGGAATTTTTCCAGAGGACATCTTAATATAACAGCACATGGCATAGAGTCAGAAATGCTGAGCACAAACTGCAGTGCCCTTTTGTCTATTGATAAGCTTAAGAATAGAGCCTGAGACAGGCAGCCTGGCCCAGGCACAAATATTGCCATGAAAGATAAGGTAGCCAGATGTGAAACCTATAATAAACAGGAGAAACAGAACATGAACAGTATTGAAATGGCATTAAAACTCTGTATTTCAGAGCCCAGGTTTGGGTAAGGTCTTATTTTTGGCTTGAATTGGAAAACTTGGCCCTGATTAGGCAACAATGGAATTTCAAAAACCAAAACCTGCTGCATGACATATCCAGCAATGAGACAGTAAGAGTGTAACACACAAGAAGGCCGGTGTCAGACTGTGAATTTAAGAATTTCCTAAGTTATCTGATATGGTCCAGAAATACCAAGGGTCTTACTCACTTCCAGAATGAAAATATTTGGGTGGATCATAGAATGGTTTGAGTTAAAGGGACCTTAAAGATCATCTAGTTCCAACCCCCCTGCCATGGGCAGGGACACATTCCACCAGATTGTGTTGCTCAAACTCCTATCAAACCTCACTTTGAACAATTCCAGGGATGAGGGATCTGCAACTGTCTAGGCAACCTGTTCCAGTGTCTCACCACCATCATAATAAATAACTTCTTCCTTATGTGTAATCTAAATTGACTGTGCTCTTATTTGAAACCATGGCCCCTTGTCCTATCACTGCATGCCCTTGTAAAAAGCCCCTCTCCAGCTTTCTTGTGACCCACCTTAAAGTATTGGGAGGCTGCTATAAGGTCTCCCCGAGCCTTCTCTTCCCCAGGCTGAATAGCCCCAGCTCTCTCAGCCTGTCCTTGTAGAAGAGGTGCTTCAGCCCTCTAATCATCTTTGCGTCCTCCTCTGGGCCCACACCAGCACATCCATGTCTTTCTTGTGTTGGGGACTCCAGAGCTGGATGCCCAGATGAGAATATCATAAGTACCCCCAACTCTATAGATTCCATCTTAGTGACAGCAAAAATTGCTTAAAGAAATCTGATACAAAGCAAAAGAATTAGCAAAATGAGATAGGACAACAGGAAGAATTTCTTACATGATGCCCATCATGATATGTAGAACGAGACGAAGGTGATACACTAACAGCATGATTCTTACTTGCTGCAGTTGAAAGCGTAGTTATTTCTATAGAATCACTGTCTGAGAAAAATATTTATTGGCCTGGGAAAAGACTATGCAGGCCAAAGGCATGTTTGGACAGCTCTTGAAAAATTGGATAGTTAACCAGAAGCTGTGAAAATACCTTCCATACACCAGCTGGCAGTGCTGCATGGTGATCCTCATGGTCTCCTGTAAAGCATCCCGTGATGTTGGGGCTGAGAGAGCACTCATTAATCGCGAGTTCCAGCTTTTCCAACTGACCTAAGTTGTGTGAAAGTGTACAGAGCTTTGTATTTCATTTCCAGGTATTTAAGCCTGCTTTTTCCTAAACAGCCTTTGGGGAGGGAAACAAATCAGATCAATTGATCTTTAGAGACCTAAAGAAATTACATTAGTCTGGAGTCAGTTACCGCACTAAACCATCCAGTAATTGGATTGCTCCTTGTAACTGATTGAAAACAGCCTCTATCTGTAACAATATAGGGAGCTTTTCTTTATAGTAGATCTGAGAGAAAAACACATCTTTTTATGACATGATGACAGAAATTGCACTTTTTTTAACCTAATTGAATATGATTTTATAAATATGTGACTTTAACGATTTCAGGCTTCCCATTCTAGATTTACGATCCTTATGTAGGAAATTCAAGCTTCAAATGCCTTTAGGATTAAATCTGTTTGCATTAGATGTGTTGGAGTTAGAATAATCTATGTAAAGGTAGTGAAATTTGCAAAATGTCAGAGGAGGCAGGCAACAGCAAAGCTACTGAAATTCCTGTATTTTGTTTTGTTACTCTCTAAATACATTACATCCACTTCCTTGTACTCTGAGCTATATATTAAAAGCTCTTAACCATTGAAATAAATCTTTGGTGAGTTTGGTAGACACCAAATTTTCAGTAGAGCATGACGTTCCTTACACAATCAACTCTTTCCATACATTACTTGTAATCTATTTATGGCAAGAAAACAGACTTTACTACTGTGATTTAGATAAGTTTCTGATTCATCTTTTGATCTTTTTACATGGTATTTACATTTAAACTATTACAAGAAGGCTTCCACAGTGGTTGTCACTAGAAAAATTGAACATATAGCAGCAATTGCCAGAATGTGGAGCTTAACATACTGTGGTGTTGACTATGGGATGCCAAATGCAATAAAGTGGATGAGCGTGATCTTTTTTAACGGTAACCTTTGCAAAAAAGACTAATGCAGGTTTTATAATGAGCAATTTGCTCTAGAGACAGACTTTAAGAGAATGCCTTTATGCTTCTGCTTAAGAGAAACCCACCAAAGTCATAAAGGATTCAAAATCAGTACACAACAGATTTATTTTTTTTTCTACTGAGCTCGATTTTATCTTTTGAGTTGCTTTGAAGAATTAGCCTTTTAAACAGATAAATAAAAAAATCATCGCAATTAAATACCATGCAAACAATCCAGTGAAAAAAGTGATCATTTCAAGAGTGTGAGTCAACAGAATTACTGAATCATGAAATAATGACCAAATAAGAACGGACAGATCATAATCGTGATCATGTTTGTCTGTTTGATCCAGTATGTGATAGGCAAGTTCAGGATGCGGACTCGTAGCTATTAAAGACAGCAAAGTGAGTATACCCATCTGCACAAGTCCAATAATCTACTTCTGGGAGGTGAATACGTACTTCTGAAGGCAATATGGAAAAGTATGGCCCAAGAAATTTTTTAGCAGAAAAATGAAGGACTAGGGGGTGGGAGAAGCAAGAGGACTGCATCCCAGCATCCAAGCTGGATTTGCATGAGAATCAGATTCTGAATTTTTCCCTGAGGAACTTTATGTCTTTGATGTGGAAATACATTATGCTGGCTTCCAAGGCTGGAAGTGAAGTGGATGATAATGCCCGGATGTAGGCACTGCCCTCTTGAAGTAGCAGTCAAAGCCATGTGCTTAATGATGTGCTCTTTGCATCAGTCCTCTCTTCCACCCCTTCCATGCTCACTTCACAGAGCTGCCTTCCTCCTCATTTCCCTTGCTTACTGCTGGTCTAAAACAATTTTTCCCAACTATTGAAAACCCCTGTACCAGCAGTCAGAATTATATACCCTCTACAACCTACTCCCATGCTCATGGTTAAGTAGGGCTTTGTCATAGTTGTCCCACAACTCAAACTCATCAGCTTATCTTTTATGTTCGGCTTGTTTTCAGTCTGCATGTGTCAGCAACCAGCCATGGGAGATCATCTCTGATGTTCAGATTGGAAAAAGTGAAGCCCTAGATTTAGGGAGAAGCCACTCTAGACATGCTGAGGTTACTCCAGCCTCCAGCGGCTGCTCCAGAGAGGTAGCTGCATTCTCTGTATTTTCTGCATCATCCCTTCCAGACCACTGCAGATCGTG